ATAATAATAATAATAATAATAATAATAATAATAATAATAATAAATATTCTGTCTCATAGAGACATGACTCTCTTGTTTATTCACTATTTATAAGCTGCCTATAACTGCTGAGGATTTCCTAGGCAGCTTCCAATACATTAAACATATTAGAACATAACCAAACACATTAAATACTTATCCAAACACTAATCAGGCACGTAGGGCTGACTTTCTTCCCATGATTGGAGGGATGTCTTAAAGGTGTCTACGGCTGGCTAATGCTACTCTGCATCCATATTTCACCCTGAAATATAAACTTTGCATTCTGCTTGACATGTGTGGCTTGGAGTCTTCCTTGGTATCCTCAAACTTAAAGTGAGATGCCTTGGATTTGTGGTCACATGCCCCTAGCCCTAAAATTCCTCATGCCCTGAGGTAAATCTTCATGTTTGCCTGTGAGGTAGGATAGGCTGAGAGTCAGTGACTGGCCCAAAGCCTGCCAGTCAGCTTCAGGCTGGAGGGGACGATGGACCCTGATCTGCTGGGTCCCAGTCCAATACTGTAACCATGAACTGAATCTGACATCCCACATGACTTCTGCTCTCATTACTTCTTGTGTCTAAATGTGCATCAATGGCCAGGAACGTTCAGTTTCCTGATGCAACAGTGTTGAATCTGGATACTTGTTGAATTTGTGACTGCATTTGTTTTGCTTTGTTTTCACTTCGAAGTCATGTACAATCTCATTGGCAGAAATGCAAAGGCAGAAGATAGAGGTGAAAGGGGAAATAGATGAAAATGAATCCCAGAATATTTTTGTGCCACGTGGCCATTCTGCTGAGCTTGCCTGTGAATCAGGATATGCCCTTGCAAGCGATCCTTCCCAAGCTGCCTTTGTCATCCAGTGTGATGGAAAACCGGTTGTGCTACCTGAATGCAAAGGTAACGCACGATGCCACAAAAAGAGCATTTGAAACTGGGCTTCCAGCTGCCATAGACAAAGGTGTCTTTGCTGAACAGCATCTTGGTGGAAATTTCCATGTGAGTCTGACAGATTTTTCATGTTGTGAAATGGTAATTTTTTGATATGGTACAAAGTTCTTTGGTTAGTTATTAAACTCTGCAGTTGCAGGACCACTATTATTAGAAACAGTTATTTCAGCAGCAACTGCAACAACAAAAATAAAAAAAATATATCCTTTCTATAAGTGCATTCTGAACATTGCACAAAAGTGAACTTCAAAGCATAAAATATAAAGGCATAACAAAACCTAATGTACATATCTGCACTGTAGAAATAGTGAAAGAAGTGACAAATACAAAAACTGTGAGAGAGACAGAAGCAAAGAGAAAACAGCACAAAAACATATGTGCAGAATTTATACCAATTATACCAATTGGCAGAGCCTCTTTCAATGTTTCTTTTCTTGGTCACATTGGGTAAGCAGTGAGAGCTTGAAACCCAGCTTGGAGAAGCACCATGTTCTATATTGTCTGCATGCATGTATGTGCACGCATGAGAAGGAGAAACTGCACCCTGTATCGGAAACGCCATTTCCTAAAATAGGAAGCAGAATCGAATGTGCCTAATGTATCCTGCCTTTTGCCCCATTGTGTGTTATAGCCCAGTTTGTGTAGGATAAATGTAGGATCAGTTAATCTCTTTTCACATCAGAGCTGTACTTGATATTTACACTACAGCATATTTTGAAGGGAGAAATGCCACGATGTCGCATCCTTTCTTAGCTCTGTTGCTCTAGCACCTTGAGCAGGGGTGGTTCCCTGCTAGATCCCTGCCTATCGGCCACTGAAAGGAAGTTTGGCCTGGCCCCAGAAGTGAGCGCAAGGCTTGCTGGGCATCCAGGCACCGGGCAAGAGGTGTGTGTGTTTGGATTTGGAAAATGAGGACATGGCTGGGCAGGAAAGTTGAAAGCGTCCGTATGTGCATGTGGCACCTCTGAACGGGATTGCTTGGTGGTAAAAAATCAGGCAAGCATCCGCCGCATGCTCTCTATGTAACACAGTGGTGCTTCCGCAATGCGCTTCCAAGCT